TGTGATCATCCCAAATGATCTAGAAACAACATAACTGTTGACTTTTGTCTTCTCTATAATAATTAAGCCATTCTGGGAAAGGAGCATGATATGGCTGCATGCATTAAGAACCACTACCACTGACAAAAGCCAAAGTCCCTTTCCAGAGTCATTTCACTCGGTGGACATCTTGAGAAGTTTCACAACACCATTTAAATTTAAGGCTGTTTCTATGATATCTAGAGATTCTAACAAGAGCTGCAGTGATGCTGTTATCAAAAAGCAAGAACCTGTTTGGTGATTGATGTTTTTATTTGGAAGGTGTGGCATGCTTTAAAGCCATCATAGTAGTAGTTTAAATTTATCCCATTCATTGTAAAAACAGTGACCCATCTGAACTATACACAATGTCTGCTAAAACCAAAATACTTAGGTTTTTATGTGTAAGCTATATGTGTAGTATTGTAAGCTCTAGCCTTTAAGATTATACATAATTTTACTACATTTTTTATAATACATTTTCTTTCATAGAATTCTACTCTACCTCTACACTTCCAGGTTTTGCAGTTTAGTAAAATGTTTGTTAATTAATGTTTTTATGTATTTTCCAGGTGGAAAGGTTATTGGTCATGATACAACAGTCATATATGGAGAAAATGCCACTTTGTTGTGTCAGCTGACTGAAACAGATGATGATCTAACTCGTATTATATGGAAGAAAAAGACACGAGAAAAACTTGAGGAGAGCGTCTTCTTTGTCATTCGCCAAGGGGGAAAAACTGAACATAAGAATGGATTGGAGGACAGAGTACAATTTATTGGGAACTTTGCAGAGAAAAATGGATCAATTCAGCTGTTCAGAATGAGGCTTCTGGATGAAGGGATCTACACATGTACCTTCAACCTATACCCTAGTGGGCCATTAGAGACTGACATCAATGTCACCGTTTTTGGTAAGATGGCTTGTTCATATTATTCTATGGCATAATGCCTGCATATATCTCTGTGATTTGATTCCTAACAGTGATGGAACTCAGGGAGTTATTTAAAATATTACTGTACATCTCATATATTTCAACAGGGCATCGTGCACTAAAATTGATTATGAATGTGTTAAATAACCAAACTTTAACAACATAAGGGCAGATCCCTTGAGCACAGCTGATGATGCTTTGAAGTGACACTTGATTGATCAAGTATATTCCAATATTCAAATAAGCTTTCCTTTGATTCATCCGCCCTTATTCTCTTTGCTTGCATCCTTCCCTTACAACCTAAGGGGGTTGGAGCTATGATGCGAGGAAAGGTAATGAGGATGCACAAATTAGAAATGAAAAGCACCCTAACAGTTCAATTCCTGCTTCCTCTATCAAGAAAACATCCGGGCATGTACAAGTACATGCATCCTCTGTACTTGTGTTCTCGAGTATTGGAATCGAGCTTTGACCGTTGATGATGACGTAGTACGAGAGCCCCGAGCATCCTAAACTCAAACCTTTTATACATTTACAGTTTACTACCCTTACTGTAAATGAAGTTGCTCCTGTCGTAACAGCTGTGCTCTGTATGCTAATGAAGTTCTGACACCTAATTGTCTGAGATGGTTCTCGGTGTCCCACACCCGCTCCCATTCTACAATTGGTCACCATTTGCTCAAGATGTGATCATCCCAAATGATCTAGAAACAACATAACTGTTGACTTTCATCTTCTCTATAATAATTAAGCCATTCTGGGAAAGGAGCATGATATGGCTGCATGCATTAAGAACCACTACCACTGACAAAAGCCAAAGTCCCTTTCCAGAGTCATTTCACTCGGTGGACATCTTGAGAAGTTTCACAACACCATTTAAATTTAAGGCTGTTTCTATTAAATGTAGAGATTCTAACAACAGCTGCAGTGATGCTGTTATCAAAAAGCAAGAACCTGTTTGGTGATTGATGTTTTTATTTGGAAGGTGTGGCATGCTTTAAAGCCATCATAGTAGTAGTTTAAATTTATCCCATTCATTGTAAAAACAGTGACCCATCTGAACTATACACAATGTCTGCTAAAACCAAAATACTTAGGTTTTTATGTGTAAGCTATATGTGTAGTATTGTAAGCTCTAGCCTTTAAGATTATACATAATTTTACTACATTTTTTATAATACATTTTCTTTCATAGAATTCTACTCTACCTCTACACTTCCAGGTTTTGCAGTTTAGTAAAATGTTTGTTAATTAATGTTTTTATGTATTTTCCAGGTGGAAAGGTTATTGGTCATGATACAACAGTCATATATGGAGAAAATGCCACTTTGTTGTGTCAGCTGACTGAAACAGATGATGATCTAACTCGTATTATATGGAAGAAAAAGACACGAGAAAAACTTGAGGAGACCGTCTTCTTTCTCATTCGCCAAGGGGGAAAAACTGAACATAAGAATGGATTGGAGGACAGAGTACAATTTATTGGGAACTTTGCAGAGAAAAATGGATCAATTCAGCTGTTCAGAATGAGGCTTCTGGATGAAGGGATCTACACATGTACCTTCAACCTATACCCTAGTGGGCCATTAGAGACTGACATCAATGTCACCGTTTTTGGTAAGATGGCTTGTTCATATTATTCTATGGCATAATGCCTGCATATATCTCTGTGATTTGATTCCTAACAGTGATGGAACTCTGAGTTATTTAAAATATTTCATGCTTACTACCGGACTTTCCTCTTACAGAAATGGTTTGTGCTATTTGAAAACTGTAAAAATAAAATGAGTAAATGCTTTTAATTTTGAGAGGACCAAAAGCAGGCTGGGCTACTCTTCACTATTCATCATTCACATTTAATGATGCATTGAATCCATTCGTTTTTTTCCCATTTCAAATGTAGCTCGTCCTGCAGTTAACGTGAGAGGGGAGGCACCTGTTGCTGGATATTTAGAGGTGATGTTGGCGTCATGCTTTGCCTCTAATGCACGGCCTGCAGCAGAAGTGATGTGGAGATTAGGAGACCTGGAAAACTCTCTGAGGACTGAAACCAACCGTACAGTGCACCCAGATGGGACCATTACTGTTGTGTCCTACTTGCTTGGTGTCCCATTAAAACATTTAAATAAGAAGAACATCCAGTGTGTGGTGAAACACAACACTCAAAAAGATGAACTTGTGCTGAACTACACAATAAACATCCATTGTAAGTACACATATGGTGTATCAACCAACAGCTTGAATACAAATGACTGTTACGTACCTTTCATATAAAACCAAAACTTTATGTTTCAAGTGCATCTCTCTATTTGTAACAAAGGCTTGTTTTTTGAATAATTTAGAAAAATGATTTTTGATTGCGAAGAATGAATATTCAGTTATAACAGCTAATAAAAAAGGGAGATGAAGATAACAATAACCAAAGACATAAGAGAACACACATATATATATATATATATATATAAATATTTATTTTTTTTTTTTTTTTATATTTCACATTTTTGACACAACATGG